CAGAAGACATACACTGACCGTATCAATAAGGACAAGTGGAAAAATTAGGAGGACAGGCTGGATGTGTATGGCAAGTGTCAGCTGTCAGAGAATGGTACAAAACTTGGACGTAAGCCCTTGACTTCACTGCCATTTGAACCTGGCCTGCGCTTCACTAATGCAGAATTCAAGTCCCTACTTCATATTCGTACACTCTGCCCAGGTGCGGCCCAGATATGCCAATGTGGTCAACGGAATGTTCCAGGTCATGACGATGTCTGTCGTGATCGGGTTCAAATGAAGACAAAGAGACACGATGCTATCAGGAACTATCTTGCAAAGTTTCTGAGTGCTGCTGGCCTCAAGGTTGACATGGAGATACCGTTAGGAGGTTCGGATAATAAGCGAATGGATCTGGTCCTCAAGGAGAGTAATGGTGCTGGTGCACTTACGATGCACGATATCACTGTTCATTCGTCAATAGCCTTAGTCCCCTATATACAACAAGTTACTAAGGACTGGCAGAAGAAGAGTGGTAGTGAGCTAATTCGAGTTGGTTTGAACCATCAAGCCCACAAGAAAGTCCTCAAGTATCGTGATCACGTTCCAGTTACGTTTGTGCCAATTGTGTTTGGCGCGGGAGGTGCTATGAGTACCCTCACCACTGAGCACTTCAAGCAATGGCGCAGGATTACCCCCAATTGGGACCACCTACAGAGGCTTATTTCGTTTGCGCTCGTAAGGAAGAGAGTGACAAACTTCCGGTTGATTTAGGCAGTATTTTAAGATGTCTTATTTTTAAAATTTTCACTTTTAGTAACGATCTTTTGATAGTCTTTAGTATTTCTTTGTAGAAACGTATCCATGTTGCTTTTTCACCTAACCAATTACCCACGAATTTCCTTTTCTAAATAGTTATAAAGCGTTGCAAATTACCCACGAATTTGTTAGCCTAAATCCATATATATCGTTTCTACAATTCATTTTTGATTAGGATGTTGCTGAGTAGTCAGACTTTTTGCTGATGATGCAAGATTATCTAACCGAGATCCGCTTGGCACTACGAGCCGAAAAAAGTTCCTCGGCCAACTTAATTAACGACCCCTGTACCTGAGATAAAAAGTCTTACACTAGAAACTCGGAAAATATAATGCGAATGTTTTTTAAAGGGTTACCTTGGCAGTAAGAAAGGGTCGTAGACTAATGAAATATATCGATATATCAATACACGCAGCATTGATTAATGGACTGCATAATCAATTAATATATCAGCTGGGGTTAGCCAAAATGGTAGGCACATCATCATCGAAAATCGGCCGATTTGCCGGAGGGGCCTAAAACCCTTCTGATAAATCCGAAAGCTCTGAATTCAAAGGTGAGGAAATTTTAAAAGATGTATCTTTCGATTTTGGTGGTATAGACGCGCCTGAGAATCTCGACGCGTCGTAGGTTACAACACCATAAAAGAACCAAAATTGAAATGTGACCTATGGCGGAGAAAAGTTTAACGTGGGTATTGATGGTGATGTATTGCGTGGGTGTGTGTGTATTCTATGTTAGGTTAGGACCTAACCTAAAAAAATCTGGTTAATAGGTGATAACTCATTCTCTAGTCATATTGGACCAGATTGGATGAGATAAAGAGGCCTGCAAACGAAGTAATTAAAGAATAGAGATAATAGAGGTTAGAAGCAAGGGAAGTCCCTTAACTAGCTCTCTGAAGAAAAGTACAATGGTTTAGATATATCATTGATGATTACGCTACACTATACGCTATACAATAAGAAAATAGAAATAATAACATGCAGTATCAGTATAGTATGAATCTCATCATAACTAAATAATATGGATGGAAATATACGTTCCCGTATAGATCAAATATATAAGAAGTCTTTGATAAATATTCCTTAGAATGTTTCTGCATTAGACTATTAACACTTTCAAAGTATCATTTCGGGAAATCTGGACTACTAACGTTATATGTAGACATTTAACTACTCAGCAGCGACCTACGAAAAAGGGAAACAGAAAGACTTTATCTGTTCTTCGTCACTCAATCATCCCATGACATCCTTTTTGTCATACACTTTACTCTCCAATAGTCTAGAAATTGACTCAAGGATCTGTAATATAGTTGAATCAAACCATGAGCTTTCACATGAGAATGAAGTGTAGCAAATGAAGACACTTAACAATACATTGATCAGCGACGAATCAGCTGGTGCCAGTTAGCTGCTCAATGGCCTATATTGAGCTATTTCAGGTATACCTTTTCATGACGTCATAGGCGGAAGTTTCCATATCTCAGCAACTACGGGAGATATGACTTTATATTGACACAGGTTGTTTCTGTACCGTCAATAAACAAATTGAACTTTTGATGTCTTTTTGAGCGCGGAAAAGAGTCCCATGTATAGTCACATGTTTACATGTTAAAGTGTTTCGCCAGCCCAATTGATATTCATGGAGAAAACGATTCTTTCCTATCCCAGACTGAATCTCTCTCAAAGTTCATCACGTTCAGACCACGCAGCGCACCCTGGCTGTGGCCCGTCCTCATTCCATTTACAATTATATTTAGTGGTTTTCTCACAATTCAATATTGCTGGGTCCATCTTGTCATCACCTTCGACAGCTTTAATTGTAGCCGACCAACCTCCTCCATGTGTTAGAAGGACACAACAACGTTTACAACCACTTTTTCCGAGCCACTGCAAGACCGAATCAACTCCGTCAAAGATGGTCTGATCAATTGCTTCATTATCGCAGGTCCCTTCGTTAAGAATGGCTATCTTAAGCTTTGAGCCATGAGCCGCTTCGTATAGTGCAGTGTTATCGCATTGGGCGTTCTCACTACTTTTTTTCAAAAACAATCCTATGGCATCCTTTAAGGGAGCGTAAAACGATGCTGCCGTTGCTACAGCAAAATTGATCCTTTGAGAATCTCTATACCATGGTGCTGGGGGCTGGCCCTCAAGAAGACCAGATGCTCAAAGAGCTTGAAGATATTGTTCGTAGGTAGGCATCTGTCGTTTCTCGCTTGTAGACACGTCATCTGATATATCTCCGCTTCTTCTAGGTGCATCATCAACCAAACCATTGCAGCAAGCGTCTAAGCCTAACCTCTTATTCAAACCACGCTCTTCTATTTTGGACAAGTTAGAATATTGAATATTATCCTCATCTGATGCACCATCCAAATGAGACTGTTTGACTAGCTTAGAGTATTTCTCTTCATCCAACTCAGTGAATATACCGTTGAAGTCTATCTTCAATTTAAACGGTTCTGTAACATCCGATATAATATAGTCAGATGAATCATGTTCATAAGTATAACAAATATCAGAACCTTGACAATTTTCCTTTCCTTCATGCTTAGCTGCTGAGACAAAACCCACCAACTGCAGCAAAAAGATATAGAGAGCGATATAACTTGCAACAAAAGTATTGTTCCCCACATTTACCATACTTCTAGATACACTTTAAACGATTTCACTGATCTTCAACGTTTTAATGTAACGATGAAAGATGTGCATGTATATTTATTAATTTATTGATTTTTTTTTTATGTTTTAATTTTTAATTTTTACAAAGCTATTCCAACAGTAAAAAAAGAGGTATACAATAAATTAATCTAGTTTAATGTATTCCTAATGTGCCGAAGAATGTATTAAGCCCACTTATGAATTTTTCCTTAGGTAGTCGCTGAGTAGTCAAACTTTTCATTGATGATATAAGATAATCTAACCGAGATCTGCTTAGCACTACGAGCCGAAAAAAGCTCCTCGGTTAGCTTAATTAATGACCTCGGTAACTGATATGAAGAACCTTACGCTAGAAACTAGAAACTCGGAATAGAATTGCCAATATTTTTCACGGCTATTGTGGAGGTGAAGAAGGGTATTAAGCTAAAAACATTCCTGTTGTACTGAATAATCTTTCAAGTCATGCTTACATAACTTTTGTTCGGTCGTTGTTGAGTAGTCAAGATTCTCGCCGGTATCAGAAGAAAAAATTTACATCCATTATAGACATTTGTTTGACATACCATAAATAAAAAGGTTCTCGCGGACGATCTCATAGTGTAGAAAGATCAGTATAGTTGCAAGTATCGCCACCGCTTTTTACCAGTGACCCAATTGTAGTTAGCGAAATCTTGCATGCTCGAAAACGACCAGAGCTATTCTGACAAGGTGCCTTTTCTACTCCTAGACCACAGACTGTAGGCTATCCAGTTTCCAATCATGGACTTCTCACGTGCCGAATCTTACGCCCTAGCATCCTAAAAACCTGGTCCGTGCTTACATCTCAAGCCTCCGTCATACCAGTTTGATTGGCTTTTGGGTCTGGAAGATTTTCTGAAGAGCGCTTTAAATTAGCAAACTCGCCTCTGCAACAGGCTCCTAGACCCAATCTTTTCTCAACGTCTACAGGATACATATGTGATTCTTCGTCGTAGTGAGATAAACCCTGGGAATCCGTCCAGTCAATAAATTCAACACTGGAATAAAACTTTATTACTGGATGTTGAGCTGCTTGAGTACCGTAACTAGTGCTAACATTTGTGTCAAGAGTGCAAAAGTCAGCACCTTCGCATTCTTGCTTATCAAAAGATGTTCTTGCTGATATACTAACATCAAAAATAGAAAAATGTAAACCACAAAGATATAGAGTAATAAAAGGTGTACCAAGAAATATTTCATAACTTCAATAACCGTAGAGCTCCTAATAAGTCTAACCTATATTCTGATGAGGCTTTAAAAAGAGAAGGAAGTTTTAAATGTTTCTGTTTTCATTTTTTTATAGATTAATTCAGGGTAATAGATTGCTAGTTACAAATTGAAATATGCAACATAGCTTTTTTTTCTTCTCATTTGCCTGGGGGTCTAAACATGTATCAATCTTAAAACAAAACTATTTCGATGTCTTACTCAGAAAAGGAAAATATTTAAAATCAATCAAGCGCAGTTGTATCAGCGGGCCACCTTGCCGGCCGATGCGGGAATATAAGTAAGGTTAGCTGCGGAATAGAAGTTAATAAATGTCAATATCACGTTAAATTACAAATGCAGAAGGAAGAGGCTTTTACATCGAATAACACAAGTTATTCGAACATTTGGATGGTAAGGAAATAATATAAAGTGAAGAATTAGAGTTTAAAGCATTCCCTGACGTATTGAAGAAAATATATTAAGTCACATCTATACACTTGTCTTCGGTAGTTTCTGAGTAATTAAAATGTTCGCCAAAATATTAGATAATCTAACCGAGAATTGCTTGGCGCTATAAGCCAAAAAAGTTCCTCCATTAGCTAAATTAATGACCTCATAATTGAGACGAAAAGAGGCTTGCCCTAAAAACTCTTAATCTAACTGCGAATATGTACATAAAATATTTTGCTTATTTGTACTATTTGGTTACGTCCAAGAATCTCGATACTTTGTGTAAGATTAGGTGAACACACAATATATGATGGTCTTCATAAAGTGATACCACTCCAAGGTTCTGCTGACCTTGAAATCTTTCACTTAATGATGAAAATTAAGTAACCTTCTAATAGTATTGACCAATAAAATGTCAATTATCTACCTCCTTTCTGTCCAGTAAGATATGAAAACGTTGTATGGAAAAGATCAATCTTGATGTGTCATTTACTAGTAACAAAGGTTGATAATCGGACCAGATATGTGACTAACTGCATGACAGTGTCCCATATTCCTAGAACATCCAATCCTGTTCTTTTGCAGCGGGGTATCGTTTTAGTAATTGATATTTCAGTCCATTTTGAAGAAAATCACCAAATTTACCATGCCAAACCTTAGTAATGCGTGTTGCATTTGAGACTAGAGAGTTACCTGATTGCATGATTAAATATGTTATGGCTAAACTACAATGTCTATGGGTTTTACAATGTATTAGATTTCCCTGTTCCTTTCGCCAGCTAGATATTCCAAACTGAGACATGATGACCTAGTACCAACTTGAAATGGCATAACCTAACGAAAAGTCTAGAACGGAGAACTAGAAACGTAACTAAGTGGGTGGTGGTCCTGTGATGTTGGAACGTCGTCCCTACAACCTTTGCACTCGCCATCGTTTTGCATACTTGATGATCCCAACTAAACACAGAGTTCATGCTGCAAAGGTAACCTGCCAAAACCAAGTGAGTAGCTATGGACTGCGGAATAGAGGAATGACTAGCAGAGTGAAGCTATCCTGTAATGTAATGTAATGCCACCATACATCATCAGCTGACTATTGACGTAGTGACGTGGATTTGAGTAATTTGAGCGGGAGATATGGTTATTTAGCTGGGTTGCACTACTAATAACTTACCCCTTAAGATGCATAGACTTCCAAAGCCTCGACCTGATGTTGAGTTATCTTACAATAACCCTCCTAATTTATATATGATAAAGAGGGGCCATGTTTACATCCCTATTATAGATTGGAAATGTGAGCTGCATAGCCTTTGAGGGAGTAAATGTTACCTGATTCATCTTAACAATTTTACGATTTCTTCCATCAGTTTGTGCGAAAAGGTTTGTAAACTTGACATGTCATCCAATTAAAGTTATGGTTAAACGGGTTTTCGATTGGAAAGATGTTCACGAGGATTCATGCCCTGTCATCGCTGAAAGAGGAAAGTTCTTCTTACCTGAGAAGGGGGCTAAGAATAGGATATTTGTGGTCTATTATAGGGAATACACTTGTTGGCAACCGCTTTTATTCACTTTATCGCTACACGTGCTTTCTTATTACTTATGTAAGATGGCTTACAACAAGTAAAGACGGCCCGAACATGGCCGACGCAACAGTTGTTTGGCTCGGAGGAAAGTGCTACCGGTGTGATAAAACCACATGACGTATCTGATACTATGTATAAAGGGTTGCAGATCTAAGACAATGTTGATTTAGTTTAGCAAACTAATCAATTGACACTCTTAAAATGTTGTACCCAATGTAATTCAAGATTGTCGCTAAAAATTGAAAAGCCATATCAGAACTATATTTGACTTTGTCCAATTGCCGAAGGGGGGCCGTTATTGCTGATCATTTACCTTGAATTAATCAGTATTACGGATAATGAAACGCTCTCCAATTTATCAGATACTTAACGTGATAAATATACTTACATGATTACTTTTATTGAGATTGTAAATAAACAGACACAGATACATCATAAACATTGCAAAACTTTATTAAGTACATTAATCGCTCAAAATCTGGCTATCAGGATTACTAATTTTGACTTAACACTTGGATGAATCTTTAATGCTCAAGAGCAATATTTCATTTACTTTTTTATTAGATTCAAGTTTCATTGAAATAGGACAACAACTCTAAAGTAACTATCTAGACCTTACATAGTGTTCAAAAGTTGTATGCACAGTTTGGTGTTTCATTAGCAGATAGAACCCGTAAAAGAGATAAAAGAATACTCTTTGGTTAGCCCAACCATACTTGTTTCGTCTAATGTCAATTTTATTATCATATATGGCGCTTTAACATTGCTTAGTAGCATAGAATTGTTTTCTTAGACGATTTTGAGGACGCATCTCAGTTGTCGAGCAAATAATACTTCTATTGGAACATAAAATTATTTATAATAACGCAACTACTAATACTACTCCTATTTTCAGTTCATCTTATTTCTATTTTAGAAGTGCCTCACTTGCTGTCACGTCACATATTAGAAAAACCATCATATAAATGAATAAATATATATAATATATAATTAGGACCAAAAATATAGTACTAGCATGCAGCACTTACTTAAATCGAATACAATCATTTCATTTCATCCTATACGCAAGCATAAACCTCCAGCCTCCCAGAACTTCTTCTGGTTAGCATCATCTACGTCTGGTTTAATTCACGTGTGCGCGTTCTTGTTGATTGCTTGATCCATTAACGATCTGTACTCAGACTTCGCAAAATATCAAGCAGTCATAAGTAAACGTAATTCAATGAAAATTTATATCAGTCGCAGCAATATGTTAATAACAATTTCGTGATATATGCTTTAGCATGGTGTCTTATATTCTGGTTTGAGTCTAAGCATTACACCGATTACCTATCTAATTCTTATAGAAATAGAAGAAGGTCACCCACGCAGCTACCACAAATGCACCATAAAAGAATACACAGAGACAGTTGACATATCTGTTCACCCAACTGAGTCGAGATGCTACGAAGATGCTGCACCCGAGGTCGGCCTCCAGCTTGACACGACTATTGACACTCCGATCGAATATCTTCATGCAGTACACTCTATCTACAATTATATAAACTACACCAAGCACAACAGCCCATGCCTTCACACCCATGAATATCCAAATGACGTTGACGTATGACTGTAAGGTGTCAGATAAGCTCAGTTGTAACATATCAAAACACACCTCGTTTGGTGTGATGTCCTGCACTCTTCCTACCACAACACTCATAATGACGTCTCCGCAATTGATGAAACTCTTCCAAATCCCCAACGCTAAGCCGAGATACTTGTCGTTGTGTATAATCAGCGGAATGGAAGCGAGAAGGGAGATGGTGGAGAGCGAGAATGCGATACTTGACAGAATAAGTGGTAGTATTGGATGCACTGACGTCTTTGCAATGAGAGCATATACTATTATGTAGAGACCAGCAGCCACCTTATGTGGTTGTTAGGGTGCAAAGGCGCATAAAAATCAACGTACTGGAACAAATTGTGGTCTCCTGCCATATAGATCCACGAATACACCACCAAGCGGTGTCATTACAACTGGTATTACCTGTGTCAGAGCGCTGTAGTATCCTCCCTGTTCTGCAGACACATTGTAGTGCACTTTAACCAAGTCAGCGACGATTTTGTTGAATGTAGAGAAGACTGATGGTTGGAATATCCACGATACAGCGAACAGGAAGAACCCTGATGGCAGAGTCATGAGTATTCTATGTATCTTCGTCGTATCTTTGTCAAACACGACCTTGCAGTCGATGCGGTTCCTCTTTGACATAAAAAATACGACTATAAGATTAGCAGTGAGCGAAAGTGCCGTAAATACCACCGACATCCAATATGACATAGCATATCCTCTGGCATTTGCGATCGGCAGTGCTGTCACTTTGCCAAGGATGTTGCAGATACGCACAAAACCAAGATCAATAGCATACACCAGAGCCAGACCTCTATTGGGGAACATCTGGTAATAGAGTTTCCTCTGGGCTGTCTCCAGCACCGACTGACCTATGCCGAAGACGATTCCACCGCCTACGAAGGTCTGATAGTGATCTGCGGTTGCACCGATTGAGTCAATGATGTTTCCTAGCAGTATAAACAACATGCAAGTTATAGTACTGCTGCATATTCCAAACTGATCTACCAGAAATCCGCCAACTATTGGCAGAATTGTGTTGATGAGGTCCGAGGCTGATGAGATCACACCGAATTGACTGTTATTGATGTCTAGCTTGCTCTTTAGTGTGCTCTTCAATGAGCCGTTTATAGATCCGAAATATTCCGGTCCACTTGTCGTAAAGTCAGCAATGTGGTTCACACAGTAGCATACTCACAATGACATGAATATGACTAGACCAACTATATAGCATCTGGAACCGAGGGAAAGGGTAGATTCAACTGGTGCTTGTACATCCTTCTCATCCTTCATCTTCGACTCCTTCTCACCGCTGGTAGTTGTGTTTGCTGAAACGTAGCTTGATCTTCTTATCATGATTGATAAATCGATCGATCCCAGGATCGATCAGATAAGTCTTCTTAAAAACCATCTATATTTAGCTTCAGCCTATTTATAACATGTCTTAAACTTATTTGGAAGGCTAACGCTTGGCATGGCGCGCAAATTTTTATGTGATTCTCTTTAGCTATGTTACCATAATGGTTAAATGAAAGCCTTGACAAAGCTCCAAATACTTCTGAGCTCTAGTTTAAACTTAATGCGAGTTTCAGAAGGATTCACAACGGGACTGTATGAAGGTAGTGGAATATTATGTAGATGTAAACTGTGTACTATGATGCTCCAAGATATACTTGAATCAATGCTGGTTTAATGTGACCGCCATAGGTTACAATGTTACACCAAATATAATGAAATATTATTACGTAAGGGAGAGGTCATAGAGTGAATATGAATAGCTTATTGTATTCCTGTTATTCTCAGGTTTCTATTAAGTTATGCTTATACAGCTATTGCTGGGTCGTTAATGAGTTGCTTAATTTTTCTCTGGTGTCAGAAAAAATATGTATACCCACCGTGAAGATATGTTGAGCATACCGTAAGCGGCAAGCGTTTCCATGGGTGGTCATTAGAGTGTAAAAAAGCCAATATAGTCAAGTGTCGTCAAATCCTTGGTCCAGTGACGCAATTTTAATCCGAGAAATAATGAATGCTCGAAAATGACCCAACGAAATCTGTTATAAAGGAGCCATTTCTATTTCAAGACAACAAACTCTAGGTTATTCAGTGCCAATCACGGACTTCTTTAGTGTCGAATAATACGTGGACGAGACTCTAAAACCAAGGTTAGTACTTACAATGAGGACCCTCTATCATGTATCGGTTGCAATTACTGACACTAATTTTGAAGGTCATTTCCAATAAATAATATAAAACAATAGAAGGAATTTAATTGCTTTACTTTACTTTAATTTTGATTGCTTTTCTTCAGGAATATTGAGTAAATAATCAAACTCTTGGTATGGTTTCTGACATAGTTTCCCTGTAGGTACTATGAAGATGGGATCTAAGTGGTTGGGTCATTATTCCAGAACATCAAATCTGATGAATTTCCAAAATGTGACTGGAAGTGTAAGGAAATATAGGATAGATTCTATCCATGTAAATTCACCTTGACACATCAAATACCAGCGACATCACACGTTGTTATTGGGATCATAAAAATATTTTGGTAACCAATCCATGTGCTGGTAGAATGTGTTATTAAGCGATAAGAACAGTTATGTGGCGCTGATTTGAGTGCCGAGTGGTAACTTGGTGTGGGCGTATATCTGACTAGAACCTGAATTTCAAAACAAAATTGACAAAAAAATAAAACAACTCTCAGTATTGAGATATATCTTTTTTTTTAGTTTTCTTGTCATCAAATCTTGTAGCTGAAATCCCATAATTACATCCATTCAGAAGTGAGAAGCTTTAACTTGACTATCCTGCGCCACAAAGTAAAAAGGTATAATCACCATAATCCATATTAAAAAACCCGTATAATAAAGGTGCTGATACGTTAGGGAAGTCATCATGTCTAGCCAAAGGACGGATTTTCACGCGAGTTGAGAAGTAATCATCATGTCTCAAGACATTGTCTTTACCACATCGTATGCAATACCTGAGCTATCCCGGCTGCAGTGTACTTATGTTCGTAGAATACTTCTGAATTTAATAGTCGGAGTGATCTATTATGGGATGATAGTGATCCATTATTTGTGGGGTTGGATTGAATGTCGAGCATAACTATCTGCTCCTGTCCCAACACTATATTGAAATGCTCAATCCTCTTCTCAAAACATCACCGCGCACTGTCCCTGTAATCCTTCAAAGATACTTTAACACCTTGTCAGTCAAATCATCCACATTCTTCTGTTTACACAGCTCTGACTTATTTTTCCAGTGAATAAAATATTTCGTGGTATCAATGTTTCCATATGGCATGCCGCATGCTGAGCACTTGCCGGTGGGGAATATGACAGAAGGGTCTCGTATCCGGTAGATGGGACCATATCTGCGAACAAAGTACATAGTCCTCAGTATGAGAAGTGGAGACGTAAGCCAAAACAACCCTTCTTCGAAATAGGAGTGCTCTCTGTAGCCGAACATGATGACGCGATCACTATTCTCTGTGCGGCTATCATAGATTAAGCCGTTTTCAAGTACAAATGGGCACGAGTAATGGTGCAAATCAAAGACGTTGAAATGTGCTTTGAGTTGCTGCTTTATTTGATCCTTCATGGTATGATGATGAGAGTAATAGAGTGTTTATCATGTAAAAAAAAAGATAAATTTGTGCGGCTATAACATCCACTGTTAAACTCTATTTGGTAAAACATTGTAGTAGCATCAATGAAAAAGTTTGCTAATCTAAGGTAACAAAAAAAAAAACTATATATATATATATTTATATTTATTTATTTACTTCAGTCAGACTTTTTGTTGTTATTTTCCTTCTCTTCTTGAGACAGGAGACGTCCTTTAACCTCTTTTTCTTTGCGCTCACTCCACCTACTAGCAAATAAATCATGTTTACCGTAAAATAAACAAGACACCTTGACGAGTTCCTCGCAGACATCGACAACTCTTTCACGGTTACTTATAGGTAAAAAGCGACCTTCCGGTGAAAATGCAGTCCACGCTTTTGGTACTGAGCTTTGATTAGGAATTGTGTGCATTCTCATCCATCGTCCCAATAATCTGAGTGTATTGACAGCATTAAACGATTGCGAGCCCCCGTTGACCTGAGCGACAGCCAAAATTTTGCCTTGTGTAGGACGAACCGAACCAAGGGATAACGGAATATGATCTATCTGTGTTTTCATAATGCCTGAGATAGCACCATGCTGTTCAGGAGATACCCAGAAGTTAGCTTCACTCCAAGATACAAGTTGACGAAGTTCTTGAACTTTGGGATGATGTTCTGAATTATCATCTTTCAAAGGTAAACCATGTGGATTGAATACTCTAACGTCTGCTCCGATATGATGTAGGATCCTAGCGATTTCAAATGATAGAAGTTGCGAGTAAGACCTTTGGCGAAGACTTCCATATAAAACTAATACTTTGAGCTTGCTAGGCAATACTGCGTGCATCAAACGTGCGTCTCGTAGCTCATCCCTACCATTCTCATTAGCGATATCGAAGGTCCAGTCATCCGGGACTAGTTGCTTTCCAGGCTGATTTAATCCGGCAAGGTATGGTCGATATTTTGATATAGTCGACGACATTTGTCTGATCATCGTACATTTTTAACAAGTAACAATCTTGAAAGAAAATGCCAAGCCATCTTATCGACTCAGACTCAGAGAGCTTGTGGTAAATATATGGCCAGTCAATATTAAACGTATAAGGTATCTTGGTTGATGGACTTTCTGAACTCTACTTAACAGTAACTGTGAGACAAGACTTCTCTGGTTGATATTAGGAGATCTGACACGACTGATATAATATCAGGCGCTATCAATTTACCAATTCAGTCTTTCACGCTGCTTAGCATTCTATTTCACTTAACCATGTTAAGAAGTCCATCTTCCATTGTAACTCATCCGAAGGTCATGGTCGGGGAGCTACTGGCTGGTTTGCAGAGGGCCTTGACATAATATTTAAACAAGACTGAAATCTCACACAATCGCGTGTACATTTTGACAGGGGCCATAAAAGCTTGGAATGAGAAGTTTGGTAGTTGTTCACTAGAAGATCGCGGCAGACGTCGTGATGCCAAGTCATTGTCGGCAAGCGAATATGGAATGTATGATAATTCAAATGACTTGATATATGTGATCATGCGCAAAATACACTCCTAATGATGACTTTATCTAATAATGTTGTATTATTACTATAATTGCTCTACATATATTCTAAATAAAACATCTTTCAGATAGGTCTACATAGGCAAAGATGCCACTGTTGAGCTAATAAGACTATCTATATCCAAGTTGAAGAGCTCTTCGTTTGAAATAGTAAAGAGATTGTCTAGATTATTACTCTCACTGGTATCCTTAAGGTAACTGATAATATCTGCTAACCTACCAGCTACATAATAATGCTTTTCTCTCAATTTGAGATAATTATGAAGCTCATCTATCGCATTATCCACTTGCACAACTGCTCCTATAATTCCTCCTTTAAGCTTGGCAACCCATTTAGAAGTCAATGCCGCCACACAGATGACAAAGACATTTGTAACCATAGTGTCTGTGCGAGGGTCCACATCTTTGAATTCGCTAGCAACATGTGCCATACTGAGCGCGCAATTAATACAAACGGCTGAAGAGATACTTGAAAGTGAAAGCAATTCACCACAGGCGTTTATAAATGGTCTGTGTAGGAGAATTTGTACCATAAGATATGAACCCATCAAGCAAGACCTCTGAATAAAAACATAGATATCATCTTTTCTGCCAGACCATTGAAGATAACTTGGCAAACCCATGAACCACTTATCTAGTCTTGAATTAAGTTGATTGAAAGTATCCAGTATCCTAGCTGCTTTTTGTTGGTCATTTTGTGCATCTCTTATGGTGCCTTCATTATATATTTTTGCAAGAACATCACGCGTAATCACCAAAAGAGAAAGAAACGCGTTGAAGAAGATTAAACCGCTTTCACTCGGAGTCCCAAGCTCATCCTGAAGTGGAGATGGTCTCATTATCTTCACCAACTGTTGCGAAATGCAATCTCGTCCTTGAAATGTCGATGTCTCAACATCAATCTGAAACAGATTATAGAATGCTCTAATCCTCAGCTCGTTTTTGAGCTCATCGCTATATACTAGACCACTATGAGCTCCTATATCAGCGGATAACACCAACGCTTGACCTATAGAAAGGTTATAAAGTTCCAAATCGCACTTTTTGCAAGCCTACCTGCCAATGTCCATGAGCTTGCATGATAAGGGGTAGAATGTAAGAAGACTGCCGCCAGAACTGATTGTTGGAGATCAGCTAGTGTCGGTGATATCCCTGACATTGGTTTCGCGATCGCAAGAAATTTGAGGAAAAATGGCCATCCAGCGCTGTGCCATGAGGTAACATTACCGTCTCTATCGATATCAGATTTATCTAAGACTCGTGAATCATCATAGAATCGACTCCCAATAGCACAAACAAGCCATAGTAGCCTCTGAAAATCAACATCATGAGCTTTTATTGACCACTGTGCAAAAAATGTCTGCTTATGAAGAAGTGGTCTAAAGAGATTAGTCCTACTAAAGTAATGGTCCACTAAAGTTGATATCAAGCTCTCAGGAGGATTAAAGCTACCATCGTCCTTATCTCTCCAGAGTAAATCCGACCAAAATTCCGCTCTCCTATGTAGGAAAAAATTGCCTGGGCTACCAAACGCCAGTTGTCTTATCTGTTCAACAGGTTTCAACTTGAAAGCGGAAGCATCACCAAGAATACGCTTATCATGTGGATATAACCCATTGTTTATGTGTGCTTCAACGGCAGCAGTTTCAATCTCTAAAGCTCTGCTTGGGGTTTTTAGATCAATCGGAGTTTCCTGGATGAAGCTGCGGTAGCTACTAGACGATTCCTCGGAGAAATCACAACTGAAAGTCTCCATATCAACTCCGGGGTGGAACTTTTGAAATAGATCGACAAACTTATCGTATTTGATGTGTAGAGATTGGTATAAATCTTTATATTTCGTGCCCTTACCAGCGATCTCTTCGAAGGTACAACTGCTGTTAGTATCTCTACATCTACTGCAGCTATCTACACCGAATAGTAGCATATCCTCAATATCGCACTTTATCTTCCGTCGTCTGCAGTTATCGCAGACCCGCACTTTGCTCATCTTCCTTTTCTTCTCGACTGACATAATAGTTACAATCGAAGAGCTATTATGTGACTATTTAATTGAAGATGTTTTAGGATAAAGGTTTCGCAAACGATTAAAACCTCAAAAGTTAGCTGATCTGTTGAAAAATCCTGCCTGATCAGAATTCCGTCGGAAACTCGATTCAGTTCCGACAGCATGAAAGTATATATTTTCGGAAGACGCCATTAAACTCTGTGTTCAATTACTTCAAAGCTTAATGCTAGATAAGTCCTCTCGAGAGCTCAATAACGAGGAAAGCAGCGAAGTTATCCATATAAAACCCAATTGGAAAAATTGGCTAAACTTAGTCATATTCAGTTTAGCTCAATATATAGATGTATTCGGAACATATGCCACAATTATAGCTATTCCAATCATCGGTGAAGAGCTTTCATTGGATAGCGCTACAAGTTCATGGGTTATTGATGGGTGAGTGCAATTTTCCTTTACTTAAACACTCTGACAGTAGAAGATATCTTTTGGTATTCGCATCCTTTTTACTCGTGTTTGGTAAATTGAGTGATTTATATTCACCCAAGTTAGTCTTCGTTATTGGTTTGGCCTGGATGGGCATTTTACACCTTGGAGCTGGTTTTTGTAAAAATGCTGTCGCTCTCGTAATACTCAAAGCTCTTTCGGGATGGGGTATGTATAAATTAAATGATCCTATATCACTATTGATCCTTTGTAGGAGCTGCTGCAACTATACCATCAGGGATCAAGCTTATCGTTATGGAGTTCCCAGATGAGGAATATCGCCGAATAGCGCTATCAATCTTCTGTTTGTGCGGAGGTGAGTATCCATTTGAAGTGCATATTTTCCTCTAAACAAACAAAGGCATTGCTAATGTAACCGGTACTATCTTTGGTGGTCTACTCACAAGCGTCGACTGGCAATGGGTACTTTGGATTATTTCCATCATCACAATCCCCCTTTCGCTCGCTTCCTTCTTCACGATACCAGATGTTCCACTCAAGTTTGAGACTGATAGTAAAATGGATTTCGTTAGCTCTTTTATTATGGTTGGTAAGTTGATTTTACCTTTTTAACGCTGCTTACAAGCATTTTCAGCTGGCCTAGTATTACTTATTTACTCTCTTACAGCCGGAAATACAGTAGGATGGCCAACTGCACACATCTTAGTACCACTAATACTAGCTGTCTTGCTTTTGGTCGCCTTTTTTTATCTTCAAACTAGAATGTCTCCCAGGAGAGCTCTCATTCCACCAAGAGTTTGGCGTTACAAGGGCATGACTGTTTTGTTCTGTGCCTCATTGACTGTATCTGGCTGGTGGACTTGCGTTTTGATTTCTTTGGCTAATATTTATCAAGATGTTTGGCATTGGGACCCGACAAAAGCAGCAGTTCATTTGTAAGTAGTTAGGTCAACTACTCATGCTACACTAACACTCATTTAGCCTTCCATTTGGTATTGCTAGTGCTATAAGTGGTTCTTTAGCTTCAACCATTTTGAAGTATGCTAATTTCAAACTTTCAATTCTTGTTGCATATCTCGCATCCCTTTCTGGCGTTTTACTTATCAGTTTTGGAGATGAACAAAGTCTCTATTGGAGATTCGCAGTACCAGGAATGGTTATAGGGTCCGCTGCATGTGCTTTTCTTTATACTGCGACAAATGTTGGTATGGTGCAGGTTTCACCTGATAATGAAACTGGTTTGGCGGGTTCTATGTTTCAAATGTCTCAACAGACTGGTTCTGCGATTATGATCTCTATTTTCATTGCTATTCGGGGTGCTGTTAATGAGCAGAGTACTGACATATTTAAAGGCACATCAGCAGGGATGTGGTGAGTGGTTCATCACATTACATTTTCAAAGTTGACTGTTTTAGGCTCGTTACTGGATTACACGGATTATTATTTACCATCAGCTTATTTTTCTTATAGAATACTTGAATATCTTCATTGTATTGTACTACACATACATAGCATTTTGATATTTCCTTTTCAGAAAAACTCACCACTTTTAAACAAGCTAATTGCTTAAATAAAACCATCCTATTGTATCTGGCATGCTGTAACACCTACACATTTTGAAAAGATTCATGATATAATCAGTATTCAGTTGGTGAAGTTTTCCTGAGCGTCAGATACTGCTGTTAAATATTTAATCTTACTGGTGTCGATATTTAGGGTACTAATATAGTACATACACTACGTCTGCTGTGTAAAAATCGTAGGACCTGTTAAATACTGCGCTTCGCTTCCTCATAATAGATCCGAACCGTCAGCTGTACAACTCAGCCCCGCAAAAGGTACACAGGAACAGCTGAAATGAATGTCTGACGGTTAGAGTATTTCCAATAAAATATATATTACACATTTAGAAAGTAAACCTTTTATCTTTGTGTTTCAGCTTCCGGGTGGGACTTTTGGAAAATTTTGAATGCTATGCTGTTTTTATTAAAACAATATCGGATGAAGATATCGGGTCTTAGTACATTACCTCAATCATTACAACCAACTTATGTTCAAGATAATTTTAATACCAGCTCTTCTCGCTACTTCCGCTCTTGTCTTAGCGGGAGGTCCTGAAATCTGTACAGGAAAAGGTGGTTGTGCCGAGTACCAAATCACCAAAGACTGTTGCGCGGAAGTTGATCATTCAGGTAAATAACTGTTCACACCAATTTACATGTACTGATATGCTCAAAGCACATTACGACGAGCAGTCCCGGTAAGCAAAACCCCCCAAAGAAAAAGCGCCATACTTACCCACCAACAGCAAATGTGTCCCATACACTAGTAATGGTATCAATACAGGTGGTATGGTTGATTGCTGTGCATCTAGAGGTGCCGGTAGCAAAGAAGTAAAGTTGGCATTAAGCGCCGATCTCTGTTAAACCAATTAAAGTTATTAGCAAAGCTGTGATATTCCCCTAGTTGTATTACGCCCCAATACATACTTTATTTAAAACACAAGCACAGCTGATTGATTCATAAGTTAATAAATTATGTCTCTATAAGTAGTCTAAACAAATTAATCATCTTTTTCCTCCTTACGGTCCTTCTCCTCCTTGCTGACATCTTCTTTGGCTAATTTTCTTCGCTTAGAAGCATTTACAATCTGTTTGTGCTTCTTGACATCATCTCTACCGACGTTAGTTCCAGCCGCTTCATGGACTGTTTCCCTCTCAATTGGTCTCTTTTTCAATGCTTTACGCATGTTGCTATTAGGCTTCTTCAACTTCAACATCCACTCTGGTACATCACATCCACTACTCTTCATGACATTGACGACCGATTTAAGGTAAGGAGCATCATCGTTTGTGAAGAAGGTAATAGCTTGACCAATTCTACCAGCCCTACCGGTACGACCAACTCTGTGAACATAAGAAGCCGGGCTTTGAGGGAAATCATAGTTCAAAACCAAGTTGATAGCTTGGACGTCTATACCACGAGCGAGAACGTCAGTTGCGATCAATACCCAAACATCACCTCTACGGAATTGCTTGATAACTTCATCTCTTTGTGCAGCCGTACGTTCACCATGGATGACATCAACTCTAACACCATCGTATACAAGCTCATTGAAAAGCTCATTTGCTCTCTCTACGCTTTGAACGAAAATAAGTACTGGCGGTTTGAGCTCACCAGCTTGAACAAGTTGTCGAACAGCAAGTAATTTACCATCTTCTCTACCAACATACATCAGTTTCTGTTGTACACCCTTTGCTGCGGCATCTTTGCGCCCGATTATCATTCTAACGGGCATACGCAGAATATTTTGGCTAACCTCCTCAACCGATGCGGGAAGGGTGGCGGTGAAGAGTGATTTACGAATCGAGGAGTGTGAACATGCACCAACAATAGTGTCAACTTGATCTATGAAACCCATCTCTAACAGTCTGTCGGCTTCATCGAGGATAAGGTGGCGAACGTTTGAAAGATCCACTTCTTCGGTCTCTATTGCATGTTTTAGTCTTAGAGGAGTAGAAATAAGAATATCATGCTTTGAACGGGTAGATGGATCTGATTTCATCGTAGCTTGATTAGCTTTACTAAGAACAGAAATTCGCCACCTTCTACCGATACCAACTCTGGCGAGTTCGTTTCGTATCTGCTGAGCTAACTCTCTCGTTGGGGATATGATAACCGCCCTGAAGCCTTCCTTCTTTGGCTCACCAAGTGAGTGCAGAAGTGGGAGCAAGTATGCTAAAGTCTTACCAGAACCGGTCGGTGCGACAGCAAGTAAATCCCTATCACTACAAGCCAGTGGAATGGACTGTGCTTGTACGGGTGTGAGGTTATCCAAGAAGCTTATATTACGCATTATATAGTTTTCAAACTTGAGGCAGCTTTTGAGTTCGTCTATAGAGCGAAGTGGAGGCTGAGCATTCTCACTAAGGTTTATTTGCATTTGTTTACGCAATTTATTTATCTCATCCTGCGTTGGTGGTGTATAGGAAGGTATAACCTCGTCCTTCTTCTTTACTGGCTTCTCCTTTCCTTTATCAGAACTGGTTTTAAAATCGCCGAAGAAGTCTAAATCTTTTGGTAGCTGACTAGATTGATTGTCTGTACTCGTAGATGGTAAAGATTTCTATAGACGACGTCAGAATTTTCTACAAAAACCTAAGAGGACTAACATCGAATAGTTGAATATCACTGGCGAACTTCTTTTTATTAAAGAATGCACCGGATTTAGTTAATAAACTGAATGGATCTCCCATCCTCTTTTACCGATTAAAGCTAAATTAATCAAGACGGCTGATCTCGTCATAGCATCCCATTTTTTATTTTATTTCCCAAGATAGGGGGATCATCCACGGGAGACTCCTTAACTATTAACAATCACCATCGTGAGTAAATTGCCTCTAGAGTCGTTTACACATCTAATACAGATACAGATGCAAGTATTTGTTAAAGTACGCCACACTTTATTTTCATCTCTCGCCACACTAACCTACTATAGACACTCACAGGCAAGACTATCACTCTCGACGTAGAGTCATCCGACACTATTGATAACGTCAAAACCAAGATCCAAGATAAGGAGGGTATCCCCCCTGATCAGCAACGTTTGATTTTCGCTGGCAAACAGCTCGAGGATGGTAGAACACTTAGTGACTACAACATCCAAAAGGAATCCACACTTCATTTAGTCTTGAGATTACGTGGTGGTATGCAGATATTCGTAAAGGTGAGCTTTTTCATTGCCACTCACATGACACCATTTTGACAGCACATCAGACTCTCACAGGTAAAACAATCACTCTAGAAGTAGAATCACAAGATACCATCGACAACGTGAAGACTAAAATCCAAGACAAGGAAGGTATTCCACCAGATCAACAGCGTCTCATCTTTGCTGGTAAGCAATTAGAGGACGGTCGTACTCTCTCAGACTACAATATTCAAAAAGAGTCTACACTCCACTTGGTTTTACGTCTCCGTGGTGGTATGCAAATTTTCGTCAAGACTCTTACCGGTAAGACAATTACTTTAGAGGTTGAGTCACAGGATACCATCGATAACGTTAAAACTAAGATTCAAGACAAGGAAGGTATTCCTCCAGATCAACAGCGTTTAATTTTCGCTGGTAAACAGCTCGAAGATGGTCGTACACTTAGCGATTA